TGATAGGTAACACTTTAGTGAATCATATTATGTATGCAGATGACCTTGTGGTCTTCAGTCCTAGCACTACTGGTCTTCAACAGCTTCTTAATGTTTGCTCTGACTATGGAACTGTTCATGACATGAAATTTTTTTTTTTATATATAGTTTTATTTTCAGTTATGATACATGAAACAAAACATATATACATAACATAAGAATTGACATTTTTCTTTTACAAAATCAGACTACATAACAACCCCCCCCTCCCACCCCAAAAAAACAAAACAAAAAAAAACACGCAATTCAGACCTCACTTATTTCGCTGCACTAATCATATAAAATCTAAAATGTAAGGAATGTGATTGCAATTAATTTGCAATAAGAGAAGGTAAATGCTCCAAAAAAGATCCCAAATTTTTCCAAAAGTTTTCGGTGATTTCCTAACATTGAAAAGGATTTTCTCAGGGGTGCATGACATGAAATTTAATACAGACAAGAGTGCAGTGATGATTTGCAGAACAAGATAAATGTCAAATGTTTCCTCCTTTTAAATTGGCAGGTAATACCTTGTGAGTTTTGAGCAAATATAAGTATCTTGGGCATCTCATTATAGACCAGTTGAAGGATGACCTTGACGTTTACAGGCAATGCCGCTCTATATATGCTCAGGCGAATAGTTTGGCTCGCAAGTTTGGTGGGTGCACAGATAGAGTGAAAGTTGCTTTGTTCAGAGCTTACTGCACTCCTCTCCACAATGCCCACTTGTGGTCTAGTTTCAGCAAAGCTAGCTTGCATAAACTTCAGGTATAACTTACAATGATGCACTGAGAATTCTGCTGAGAAGACCACGCTGGTGTATGTGCCAGTGAGATGTTTGTGGCTGGAGGTGTTAATACTCTGCAAGCCACATTGAGAAATGTTATGTACAAATTTATATGTCGGCTGAATAACTCAGAGAATTACATAATTTGTGGCATTGACCAACATCAAGTTTAGCACTACACGGTATAAGTCCAAGTTATGAAAGCATTGGTATAGTTGTCTCCTCTGAAGTTGTATTTGTTTTTTTATTGTATTGTATTATATTGTGTGTACTGTCTTGTTTTTTATTTGGATCGGGGAGTCTGTAATAAAGTTTATTATTATTATTATATATTTATTTAAGTGTGTGTCTCTCTCTCTCTCTCTCTCTCTCTCTCTCTCTCTCTCTCTCTCTCTCTCTCTCTCTCTCTCTCTCTCTCTCTCTCTCTCTCTCTCTCTCACTCTCTCTCTCTCTCTCTCTCTCTCTCTCTCTCTCTCTCTCTCTCTCTCTCTCTCTCTCTCTCTCTCTCTCTCTCTCTCTCATCTCTCTCTCTCCTCTCTCTCTCTCTCTCCTCTCTCTCTTCCTCTCTCTCTCTCTCTCATCTCTCTCTCTCTCTCTCACAAACACACACAGTTCGACCGCCCCCACGCCCGCACCTCTCTCTCTAGCGGGAACACACGCACACTCCTAAATTGCAATCTTAACATGAATTCTGACTGCATGCTGCATGCAGATAGACGAGAGAGTGCGATGCGTGTGGTGCATAAAACATTAGGATACCTTTGAACGGACGACAGTTTTCTGCCCCAGTTTTACAATCTCCAGGTCCTGGACCCATCCATCTGTAAAAAAGACTTGGGCCTGCTGCAGCGACTTGAAGTTACTGAAAACTTCGTGTGTGTATGCACTAACATTTAATATCATGTAGTTATATATGGGTGCTGGAAGTTGGGCAGCAGGTTGACGTCTCCTGAGCAGTCACTATGCTCATACGGATCCAGTCCTTTGATTTCCTTTATTTTCTCCTTGTATCTCGTCTTTGCATTATCATTTAGCTTTAGGCGGTATGGTCTGACAATATTATCTTTAGCCCGCTGCATTTTGTAGGATTATAATGTTTTTCACACTACTGTTTTTTTTTTTTCATGCCAGAAAGCAAGCCTGCTAGTGCCAGCCCATGTAAACTGGCCAAACATACCCATAATTCTTTGGGTTTGATGACGTTGCCGCCCACTTGGTCACATGTCTTAGCGATCTCTATAGTATTCATCCATATGCGTACTTATTCCAGGCGTTTATCCACACAGGCGTTTATCCACGCGTACGTTATTACACGTCATTGGTCACGGCAAGGTACGCGACGATTGACACGATCATTGCTTAGTTTGCAAAGCAAATGCACAAATCACACCTCATAAAATCACACCTCATATCAGGGTAGTCTTAGAAAAGTCACTTTTCACTCGCCATACTCCTGCTCCCGGTGTGAATGCACTCATTGATTAACATGCAAGCCGGAAAAAATACGCGCTGCTCACGCCCGCTGACGTATGTCTTGCATGTATTGGATTCTACCATATAAGGGCATTTTTAAAGGGGCAGTGACTGTGCCCAGCCATGGCATCATTACAGTTGTCTATTTGGAGTTCTTTTTGCAATTTCTTCTCAGTTCACCATGGACAAAGCTGCACTGAGACTAACTTTGCTCGGCCTTCTGTTCACTTGTGTCAACTTGGCTGCTAGGCCTACAAAAAAGGTAAACCAACAGGTTACAAAATGCATTTGGGGGAAATTATTTCTCAGTTTTCTTGACTTTACGTTATTCTCCAATAGTTACTTAAGACAGAGGCAAGCAAAAAATGGAACAAAACTAAATGAGTACACCCGTGAGCTAGCTCTATTCAGACCAGACGGCAATTGTTTCTCACGCGGACGTCTTTAGAAAATAAATGTATTTACATTAGACCTCAGTAATCGTGCATTCGGGTGGCGATTTATTCACGGTGGAGGAGTGAGGTTTGTAATACAAACCCGGGAACATGCTGCTCACATGGTCAGTTGCATGATTGTCTGCTGTAAATAAAATCTCATATGGTTGGGATAATAAGCATAAATTAATATTTAATTTAATAATAGGAAAATAAAATAATTTATTATTTGATTATTTAAACCTTTTAAAAAAAGATAGACACGCAAATAAAACGTTCAAATGTTTTTTTGTCTTGTATTTTATCTAATATTTATGCATGTAATTTAAAAAATATGGAAATAAGTTAATACAGCCTCTTATTTACATGAGGTAAAACATAAAGCTGCTTGGTTTATATTTGAATAATTTCTATCATAGTAACAGCCCTTTTTTTATGTGCTTTTCTTCTCTTTCTCCTTTGAGCGGTGATGAAATTATAGCTATTGTTCGTTCAGCATTTCAGTATAGGCTAGCCTAAGAAAAGTGTATGGCTAGATCTTGAAAATCCATCAGTTATCAGTGCTCAGCAGTGGTCAAAAGGGATTTAAACAATTAATTTTGTAATTGATCTCTTCTTGTAAACTCAGGCTACTCTTAGATTTGTGGCTCGCCCTCATTTTAGAAGAACAGTAGTAGGTATGTTGTTAACGAATCTTATTGTATATTGTTTTATTGAAGAATACATCAAATTGTCTGCATTGCGGCATGCATGCTTAAAGTGATTCTCAGTTGTAGCGGGTGTGGGGTGGAATAGCCTATCTATTTAATATAAATGACGTGCATCAAAATATTTTGTTTATTTGTGATAATCTTAGCAATTTATTATTATTGTCTAACCTGTATTATGACTGATAGTTGACGAATTGCTTTGTTCCTTTTTTGTAAGTTTTGGACAAAAGCGTCTTCTAAATATGTAGCCTAAAATGTAATAATAATAATTATTATTATTATTATTATTATTATTTGAGTTTATAACTATAAATGAGTTAACTTAGTAATACAGTAATATGTTTGTCATAAAATAATTTATCAATGCTTTATTTTTATAGGCTATAACCTAACCTTTTGCAGTTTTGGATAAAATAGGCCTACATTTTTTGCATAATTTTTTGCTTAAAAATAAAGCATTGATAAATTATTTTATGACAAACATATTACTGTATTACTAAGTGAACTTAGTACTTAGTAAAACCTCCCGGGCTCCGTAATACGCAGTAGGTAATTCGGCCGGGGATTTTTACGCGGGTGGTAGGAGAAAAACTACATTCTGGATTCGGACGGCAATAAAATCACAGGCAACTAACCCCTGTAAAAGTTGAAAATAGCCCACCTTACAACGAGAATACCATGAGAAACGATTAGCGGCCGAAGAGGGCTACAAATCTGTGTAAAAAGTTTGGAGCTAATTTGTCCATAATTTAATTCCACATTTCTTATCTCAGTATTAAATTGAAATTGATCCATTTTCTCAAGGTTATCAAAATAATAAATATTTGTATTGTGTAAATAATTGATCATGTTTGAGAGGAGAAAGTCCACATGAGTTTGTTAGCAGGGTTGTTTAGTTTTTTTGTGTCATTCCTGGGATAGCCTATATATATATATAGGTTTTCAACCCTGAAACAATGAGAAATATACAGATGTGACAGGGTTGAGTGTGATGGAGTTGAGATTGTTTGCACAAAATGGCCACTGCTCCTCTTGTAGTGTAAGAGAAGTAGACAATATGGCAGCAACGAAATATGTACATTGTATGGATAAAAAAAAAAAAAAAAAAAAAAAAAAAAAAAATCTATCATAATTTTTATGTGATGGGGTTTAGTTAAGCTTGACAGTACACTCCCTTGACTATAATGGGCCTCAAAAATCTTAAAAAGTATGATACTTACCATCTTATGCTACACTGTTAAAAAGAAACTAACACAAATAAATAAAAGTACATTATTTTATAAATGTAATGTTTTTTTTTATTCATTATAATGGACACACCATGTATTGTATGGTATGTATGTTTGACATACCAATGTATTGTGAAAAGCTTTTAAAATGTCATTTTGGTGAACCAACCCTTTAAAAAGTCTGGGGGACTATTAAATATTACTGAATCCCTGGAATGACCCTTCTAAGGATGTTAAATGCCAATACCCTTTTTTATTTGGTTAAAGAGAGTGTTCTTGCTGTAACAAAATTATCAACCTGTCAATAAACCTGGCACAAGAGCTCTGATACTTTTTCACTTTAATACAGAAACAAAATATAGATATTTACAGCTTCCACATTAACTCCACGGTCACCAGCCGCTATGCTACCACGGTCATCACAAGCCGTGTGAAAAACCCGTTGAAACACTCTCAAGAGGTCCATTTTGAGGTCAAGATACCCAAGAATGCCTTCATCAGCCGGTTTAGAATGTAAGTAAATACACAATATTTAAGCAATAGTAAAACTTTCTCTAACACTTATATACTATTCACATATGAACAGCCAGACTTACCTAATGAAAATTAAACCATTAACAATTTAGTGCATTTATATGAGCTATTACCGTTTGTTTTTGTTCCTGATTTTCATTGCTGATTACTGTCATTTTTACATTAGCACCATAGAGGGGACGACATATGATGGAGTTGTGAAGGAAAAGAAGGAAGCTCAGCGGCAGTACTGTCGAGCAGTATCTCGAGGAGAAAGTTCTGGACTGATCAGGTACTTGGTATTTTAAAAAGAAGATTATTGCTGTAGTTCAAATGGTAGAGCATGGCACTAACAATGCCAAGGTCATGATTCCCAAGGAATGCATGGACTGATTAAAACAACTTATATGCCTACCTTCATTGCAATGTAAGTTACTTTGGATAAGAGCATCTGCCAAATGCATATGTAAAATATAAACTATTTCATTAATTTCTTTAGCATTTAATTAGATTCAATTTAGATCAATAAAATGTATTTATTTAGTATTTATTTATTATTAAATAGTCTATATCTATTTCAGATCTGTTGGCAGGACTTTAGAATACTTTAAAACTTCAGTGACGGTGGCTGCTCTCAGTAAAGTGACTTTTGAGTTGACCTACGAAGAACTGCTAAAGCGCCGCCTTGGCAAATATGAGCTACTCATCAATGCCCAACCGATGCAGCCGGTGGCAGACTTCAAGGTAGGAGAAGAAACAAAACAAGATTGTCATAATAAAGAATTGTAAATGAAGGGATTTTTATTCATCATAATGAAAAAGAAAGTGAAATGTAAAGTTTTATTTTGGTTAGATTGACGTACACATCCATGAGAATCAACAAATTTCCTTCATGGAGGTCAAAGGTGGTCTGAACACTAAAGATCTGGCCAATGCTGTCACAACCAGCAGAGCAGACAAAGATGTAAGAAATCAAAATGGACAAGAAATAAAAAACGCAACTTCGTGCTTGAAAATGTTAAAAAATGAACTAAAATGTGACAACTTCTGTCGTTTTGCAATCTTAGGCATGGGTGATGTTCTACCCCACTCGTGACCAGCAAACAAAGTGTGATGACTGTAGTAGAAATGGTCTGAATGGCCACCTGATCATTATGTATGATGTTGAGAGACCAAATCAAATTGGAGATCTGAAGGTTGGTTATACTTAGGCATTTAAATATAAACATAAGTACATCTCACATAAGTGTCATTCCCACTTGTCATCTGTCCTCTTTTTCAGGCATCAAATGGCTACTTTGTCCACTTCTTTGCACCTACAAATATTCAGCGCATTCCCAAAAATGTGGTGTTTATCATTGACCAGAGTGGCTCCATGTCGGGGGAAAAAATAACGCAGGTAAATTTGTTTTTCAGTAATTTCTCCTTTTGTGTTTTACTTATTGAATTGTTGAATCCTAAGAATAATACAGAATAAATTATTATTTTTTCATGTAGTTATGGCTTCATAAATTGGAAGCATTATTTTTTAGACTCGTTTGGCAATGTTGAGGATTTTGAGTGACCTGGCAGAGGATGACCTCTTTGGATTGATCACGTTCAGCAGTCACATTAAAACCTGGAAACCTGAACTTCTCAAAGCTACTGAAGGAAATGTGGAAGAAGCGAAGACGTTCGTGAAGGGGATTACAAGTGGAGGAAGTAAAGTGTTCACCATCAGCCAATTGAACAAAAGCATTTTAGAGAAAAAAAACCTCAAAAGAAAATGATGGCCCAACTGACACCATTCAGAAAACATTTGATCTCCATGGTTTCAGTAGTCACATGGGCAAATCTTTGACTATAAAGGGACTAAAATATTTCTAAAATACATTTCTTTCCTTTCAGTGACAGACATAAATGCTGCAGTGCTAAAAGCTGTGGACATGATCAACAGCCTCAGAGATGCACAAAAGGGAACCGTATCTATCCTGACCCTGCTGACTGACGGAGACCCCACTACAGGCACAAAATAACTGATTCACTCATTCATGTACACTTGTATATTGATAGGTTAGGGTTTAATACTGCACATAGATACTCCACTACGGTATATACTGTATTGCATATGAAGTCACCAGATTTTATTTTGTATGCATACTATGATCCAGTACACTAAAGGATCCTGGAGTTTGCATTTAGTTAGCTTTTCTTCATCATCATGCCTAAAATATTCTTCCTTTTATTTGTGAAAAGGTGAGACCAACCCAGTGAAGATTCAGAAAAATGTGAAAAAGGCCATTGGTGGAAAATTTCCTTTATACAGTTTGGGTTTTGGGTATGATGTCAGCTTTAAGTTTCTGAAGAAGTTGTCATTGGAAAATAACGGTGTTGCTCTCCGGATCGATACGCATGATGTCAATCTAAAACTGCAGGTCAGATATAAACAAATAACTCTACTTGGGTTTGAGTCCAGCTTGTGTCATTTCTCAATGTGCCATTTGCTGTTGCCAGTGCTAACACTTTATGTAAACTTACACTTTACTTAAAGGTGCTCTAAGCGATGTCGAGCGTTTTTTAGGCCAAAACATTTTTTGTCACATACAGCAAACATCTCCTCACTAACCGCTGGCTGCCTGTCCCCTGAACACACTGTAAAAAAACGCGGTCTCTGCAGACACCCCAGGATCCACAAAAACAGCAACAAAAACAAACTGGGCTAACCCGCTCCACGAAACATAACAAACTGTTCCAGCCAATAACCGACAAGAAGGACTTGGGGGTGGGGTTTGGGGGGTTAGTGCGCGGATGAGGAGGAGGGAGGGTCTAGCTAGCCTCCGTTTTGTTTGACAATAGTTCGAACGTCAACAAGAAGTGACGTCACCCAGGATCGCTTAGAGCACCTTTAAATTGTATAAATACAAGGATATATACTGAAACAATTTCATTCTGGTAGGAATTCTACAAGGGAGTGGCCACTTCATTATTGACTGGTATCCACCTTAAATACCAAGCGGTGGACAAATTAACCCAAACCACTTTCAACCGGTACTACAACGGTTCTGAGATTGTGGTTGCTGGTCATATCACTGATAACAGTTTGGAAAGTTTCAACATTGAAGTCATTGCATCAACGGTAAGATAACCACTACCTGTCTTAAGACCCAGGCTTTTTTATTATGACCTACTTTTATTAGTCTGTATAGTATTCAACTGTATGATGCGCGTGTGCTGTTATGTTGTATTCTGTGATGCTAATTGGATTCTTTATTGTTTTAGTTTTTTTATTCTCTTTTATATTACTGTTATCTTTGCATGTAAGGTGACCTTGGGTGTAATGAAAGGTGTTGTAGATAAAATTCATTATTATTATTATTATTATTATGATTATTATTACCCCTTACAGCAGGGATGGGCAACGTCAGTCCTGGAGTGCCGCTGTCCTGCAGAGTTTAGCTCCAACATTAATCAAACACACCTGAACAAGCTAATCAATGTTTTCGGGATCACTAAGGCTGCTTTACACTGGCACAAAAAAATCCGATTTTTTCTCTCACTTCTGACACTGATCGGAATTTGTTGCACATAATGTAAACACAAAAATCTGCACGAGATCTGATTTTTTTGCATACAATCTGAGCCACTTACCTCAGACATAGCAATCGAGCTCGGAGTGGCAGTGCTGAAGCTTTAAGGCCACAGTGACACCTTGTGGTGTGACCAAACAATACAAGAGGTTTGTGGACGTGACTTTACAGGTCACGCAGGAAATAAATGACTTGGAGATGGCCAATATGGCCAAAATCTTATATCACGGTTTATGTCCTTTAATATCACCCTAACTGTATGTAGCTATTAGTGTTGCACGGTGCACCGATACTTCAAAAGTATCGCGATACTCGGAAATTAAAAACTTCACGATACCTAAATTTATTAGTATCGATACTTCTAAGAATGACTTGGTTCCAGATTTGTAAGAGAGTATTGCATGTTGGTGTGTGCAACGCACGCTTCCAGTGCCTCCCTATGGACGTCTGTGTTTTTCTCCTCATGCGCGTGTGACAGGGCGCGTGAACTGAACGAGCAGAGAGAGAGAGAGAGAGAGAGAGTGAGCGAGCCCCGGTCGCGCGCGCGCACTCTCTCTCTCTCTGCGGAGCCAGGCGAAAGGATAAGGCTTCACCGTCTCAAAACTAAGCGCTGTCTTGCTCTCTCTCTCTCCCTCGCACATATTAATCAAAATAATTCGACACGATGGTAAGGTCGGGAGACTAAAGTTTCATGTGGAGCATTCGGAGTTTTTTTTTTTTTTTTTTCTGAATTACCGCTGGGTGTAAATTGTGGTAAAATACGTTGCCTTATCTTCTCTGAATCGTTCCGCACATTCAGCTGACATAAACCACACTTTAAATAAACGAAAAAAACTATCCAGTCATGAAATGTTTTCTGTGACAGTGGGATGTAACCGCCTGGATAATCACACAACGCGCACACGTCCGATAATGACACGTCCAATTCGCGAACTAATGACTCATTTGAACCGATTCGTTTTAATGAATGATTAAAACAACTGATCTGTCTGAATCGGTGTATAACTAATCGTTAACACTTTGTAATAAGGTTTCATTTATTACATAAATTACATAAAACAAATAAAAACACTTGTTTTTTCCCCCCGAAAAAAGCATATGACTACTTTTTTCCACACAATGCTATCATGAATCGATAAGAGAATCGTTAAAGAATCGGATCGATAAGCAGAATCGTCAGTGGCATTGATATTGATAAAATCTTATGTTTCTTATGATAACTGAGATAATGCTGCTAAATTTTTTATTTTTTTACCTTGAATGTCATTGCTCTAATTTATTTTTTATATTTTTCATATTTCATATTTTGTTCAAATGGTTATTATAGCCTATCTGCTGTTCAAATGTTCATTTATTAGTGTGTTATGATTGGAATGTTGTCCCAGTTTTAAAATAAAGCACAGCAATGATATTTGAGAGTGTTTCTCCCTTTTCAGGAAAAGTATCGAAAAAGTATCGAAATCGCAATTCTTGACTTGGTATCGGTATCGAAACAATAATTTTGGTATCGTGACAACACTAGTAGCTATATAGGTTACCATACATAGGCCTACTCTTTATTCCGGACATGGCCGTTAAGCATCAGCAGATCGGGATTTCTAAAATGTCTGGGCACACATGAACAGAATCTGCTGATCCAGACACTTTGACACGAAAGCGCGCCTAATTATAAGGACCGGATTTTAGGAACCCTGCACTAGACAAAATTTAAAATGTAAACTTCTGACCTTTATTTTCTATGTTCCAGAAAATAACTAAAGTGGTATATCATACTAGTGTACCTATAGCGGATCTAAACAGTGACAGACCTGAAGAAAACAATATTGAAAGATTACTGGCCTTCGTTACAGTAAAGCAGCTACTGGAGAAAGAGTAAATATAAACATTTCTTACTGATTCTAGGCCTGTATGAATCATAGTTTTCCTGAATCTTCATTTGTGGATTTTTCTGTATGTCAGAGTGCTTCTAAATGGCCTGGAAAAAGACAATGCAAAGAAAGAAGCCCTTAAACTTTCTCTGAAGTACAAATTTGTCACACCGCTTACATCAATGGTGGTCACCAAGCCCCAGGGTCAGGAAATGCAGGTTGCCCACAAACCCAAAGAGGGAGAGAAACCAAATACAAGGGATCCGGTCCCAATGGCACCAGCACCACCACGAAAAGGTAAAAAGAAAATATATTTAAATTATGCTTTTTTGGACATACTTAATATATTTAAATTATACTATACTAAGTGCGTATAAAATGTATTATTTTGAAACAACATTAAGTACCTATATTAAGTCTATTTCAAAATATACTTAAGATACATTTTAAGCTATTTAAAATTTTAATATTAAATTGTGTTCATTTTTTATTCTAACTACAGTTAGAATATATTTAAAGCTTCATTTAATTGTGCTTCAAAAACATTTAAATGTAATAGCAATACACTACTAGTTTATTATAAAGCTGTTTTTTTTCAGTATTCAAAATGGTATATTAAAAGTATCTTTTTTAATGTACATTGCGAAATTAATACCTAGAGTACATTGAAAAAGTACAGAAGCATATATAATCTCTTGACCAAAATACATTATAATAAATGAAATACCAGTGAAATGCAATGGTAGTGCTATTTTTATAAATTGTTTGTAGAACATTTCAGTTATACCCGAATTACTGAAAAGTAGCTATGAATATTACATACCTGAATAAATAAGCATTACAATGCAATTTTGTGAAGAAGAAAAAAAAGGTTCCAGAAAGGTTCAAATTACAAGCACCAGTGACAACTGGAGATTCACCCGTTGTAAAATGCAAAAGACTTCGTTCGGACTTCGGAGTGGCTACAGAAAAAAAGAGACTGCAACCGGACCCATGCAAAAACAAGGATACATATCGGAAGGACATTAAATGTAGTCACGCAATGCTGACGTTGTTAACATTAATAATTTGCACGGTTTTACGTGATATGATAAGCGATTGTTAGATTTAATCAGCCGATTAACTGCAATGTCAGAACCAGAACAAAAGTGGATGTTCCTTACTTGTTCAGATGATATTTTCCGGTGAAAATTATTATGTTGGTCATACTTCCAAAAAGAATAATCTGTGATTCTAAATGACAGTCTCCACACCGGTGCGGTGACTGACAGCCGCACACTCTCCTCATGCTGAGGTACAACTTACGTAAAGTTGATAATTCCGCGAATGACTGCAATAGGCTTTATGCCGAGCGTCACGTGACCAAACCGGAAACCGGGTCTCATTGCATCCGCTTGTCAGAGAAAGTGTTAACGGCCGTAAGAACTAACTACGATATCTATGGATTTTTAAGGTAATCAGCTAACCTACTAAGTTCACTTTGTTATTGGTGTTTTATGCTATTTAAATATCTAAACGTTAGTGTGAAGAAGAAAAATTAAAAAAACTTTTAAATATCAATCTGCACATGCGAGGGACATTGGTTATGCTCATTTTTGCTTGCTCCTTTTAAGTTATCTTGAGTAAAACCGCAAAAAATGTCATGAAGCACATACAAAAGACCTGAATCGGAAGCGATGTGATCTGTTTTCCGGCTTGGTCACGTGACGCTCGACATAAAGCCTATTGCAGATTTCGAACAGAGATGGCGACAAAGAGGCAAAACTGCGGACTGCAGCTTTAAGGCTGCAAATGGCTGAACCAAAAAAAACGTCTCAGGTTACGACTGTAACCCTTGTTCCCTGAGGAGGGAACAAGACACTGCGTCGTTGAAAACGACTCTTTGGGGACACTCCCTTAGCGTGCGCCTCTGAAGTATGAATGAAACTAATCCAATCCTAATTGGTGTTGCATCATGACGTAACATGTGACGGCATAACCGGATGCATAAACGTGACGCCGGCACACACACACATTGGCCTCGCGATGAAGCAAGCCGCTCCTAGGCATCGAGGGGTGTGGCAAGACGACGCAGTGTCTCGTTCCCTCCCCAGGGAACAATGGTTACAGTCGTAACCCGAGACGTTCCCTATCGTAGGGAACTCCACATTGCGTCGTTGAAAACGACTCTTTGGGGAACGAATGCCCACTAGGCCACGCACCGAAAAAGGCATGCCCTAGAGTGAAACTGATCTCAGGCACTCAGCTAGGACGAGAGCACATGTGCACCAGGCGTACAAGGGAGGTGCAGACTATAAACCTGATAAAAGTGTGCGGGGTAGCCCAACCGGCTGCCTCACAGATCTTCTGGAGGGGCACTCCCGAGAGGAGGGCCCTAGAGGACGCCATACCTCTAGTAGAATGAGCCCTTACGGCCAAAGGTGAAGGCAAATTGCGCACCTTGTTGGCCTACTTATGGTTTGTTTAGCCTGAGGCCACGCGATAGTATCTTGAGGCCACGAGTTACTAACTTGAGGCCACGAGATAGTATCTTGAGAGATAGTATCTTGAGGCCACGAGATAGTATCTTGAGGCCACGAGTTACTTATCTTGAGGCCACGAGATAGTTATAATAATATTTTTTTGACAAAGTGGGACTAGGGGGGCTCCGTAGAAAATAGAAGTTGAGCAAAATATTGTATGCCAGGACTAGGACAAGTGACTTGCAGCTTTACCAAAAAACAATAAAATAACAAACAGATTTTTACATGAACGACTCAAAGGAAGCACAAATTAGCCTAAACTACCAAGACTGACCGAATCACCTTCCATTAGGCCTGATTCAAAAATCTCTATAACAGTGGTGATATAAGATATAAGTTTTCAAAGATCATTGACATCATTATAACAATGAAGCAAAATTGTTCAGGAAATCAAAAATGAATACACTGCTTCATTTTGCAAATAAAAAGAAGGTTAAGGTAATGTTGTACATGTTATAATGACTAATTATGATTTCTGCCAATGCATTGGACAATGTTTTATAGTTGCGTATGACAGACACATTTTTCCACATAGATTTTAAATAGATTTAAAATGAATGAAAGGATGTAATGAGGCGCTGCTCAGCTGGCGACTCGCAGGCAGCTCGCTACAAACAATTAGTTAGTTGTGTTTATTGTTGTGCTCGTCTGTCATCGAACTAAGTAACAATACCTTCTTAATATGTGGGTGCTAAAGTCTGGGCTAAGAGTGGTGGATATCCCTTGTTTTATTGGACTTTTTATTGGATTTTTAATCGCATTTGGTCTGCTTGTGCATTCAAGCGCCGAGAGTGTCGTAATGGAGGAACGGCGCAGTGACAGCCAACCAGTGCTTATATATGCTCGTATCGCACTCCTAAAACTTAAAGTGGGACTTGAAGAACGAGCTACACCCGGGCTGCTGGCTAGTATACCCTACCTGCTGTGATCCTGGCCAACCTGCGCTCTATCAACAATAAAATTGACGACATACGGGCGCAAGGTACTCTCTTGAATTTCGCGAGGCTGCTCTTCTCTGTTTCACTGAATCATGGCTGCACACCGACGCTCCGGATTCACTTTATGACATCAGTGGATTTTCACTCATAAGGGCGGACAGAAATGAAAACTCTGGGAAGAGTCGGGGAGTAGGGATTTGTGTTTATTTAAACGAACGGTGGTGTCGCCAGTATACAATCAAGCACATGATATGTAACAGAGATTTTGAATTGCTGGCAATTGGGTTGAGAACATTTTATCTTCCCCGGGAGTTCGGCTGCATTTTGCTATTTGTTATCTATGTCCCCCCAAGCGGCAAAATACATTGCGCCGCTACATCAATAGCAGATTGTGTACCTAATCAACAACAACATTTTCCAGATGCTCCTGCTATTGTTCTGGGAGATTTTAACAACTGCAACCTAGAGAAAACCTTGCCAGGATTTCAACAGGTTGTGAAATGTGGAACAAGGAAGGAGAGCATACTGGATAAATGCTACATTAATCTCCTCAATGCCTATCAATCCAGGAGTAAACCACCAATTTCTAACTCCGACCATAATGTGGTACATCTTATCCCGAGTCCGACGTACACATCAAAATTAAAAAGTCGTAAACCAGAGAATAAGGTGGTTCGACAGTGGACTGATGACAGCAGAGAGGAGTTGAGAGCTTGCTTTGACTGTACGGATTGGCAAGTGCTGAGGGGGGACACATTGGAAGAAACTTGCACTGTTACAACAGATTACATTAATTTCTGTGTACAGTCTATCATACCCACAAAAGCAGTGAAGGTGTACCCCAATAATAAAATTTATGTAACCAAAGACATTAAACAAGTAATGAATTTGAGGAAATTGGCTTTTAAAAATAAAGATAGAAGGGAGTTACAAAAAACAAACAAAGAACTGAGAGAAAAATTGAGGAAGGGAAAGGAGACACACAAGAAACACCTGGAGGAAGCTTTCAAGGCTGGTAACCCACGTAAAACGTGGGATACAATGAAAAGTATGACAGGCATGCCAGGTAAAAATAGGATACCTTTTGTGACAAGTGATGAGATAACCTCTGCTATTGAATTGAACACTTTTTTTACTAGGTTTGAAACCTCTGGGAGTATGGAGAAATGCAGGAAGGTGTTAGAATCAGTCACGATGGGCTCTGAGGATAGAGTGACAATTACAGTGGGTCAGGTGGAAAAAGTATTTCGTCAGCTTAATTCACATAAAGCCACCGGCCCGGATAACATCAGTGCCTCTATCCTGAAAATATATAGCAAGGAGCTAGCACCAGTGTGGCAACCCATCTTCCAACAATCCATGGACACACACACTGTCCCCATGGCCTGGAAAACATCGCATATCATCCCCCTACCAAAGAAATCACGCCCCAAGGAGTGTAATGACTTCAGACCTGTGGCATTAACATCTGTATTAATGAAGTCATTGGAAAAAATCATAGCATATGTACTTTCTCAGTCTGTACAGGACATACTGGATCCTTTCCAGTTCGCATACAGGCAACAGCGCAGCACGGAGGATGCTGTTGGCACCCTTACGCATCTGGTCTCAAAACACCTGGACACTCCGAAAATAAAGCCATATGCCAGGGTAGTTCATTGACTTCTCCTCTCCATTTAAAGGTCCCGTTCTTCGTGATTCCATTTTTCAAACTTTAGTTAGTGTGTAATGTAGCTGTTAGAGCATAAATAATACCTGTAAAATTATAAAGCTCAAAGTCCAATGCCTAGCGAGATATTTTATTTAACAGAAGTCCCCTTTCAAAACCTACAGCGAACGACCGGTTTGGACTACATCCCTCTACTTCCGTTTTTAATGACGTCACTAAAACAGTTTTTTGGCTAATCTCCGCCCACGGGAATACACAAAAAAGGGGGCGTTGTCTTGTTGCGCTCCCACGGAGAAGAGGAAGAGTTTCGTTTGTAGAGTGTGTTTGTTGCCATGTCGTCGAGACACTGTTATTTTCATGCCGGAGTCAATTCACCTTTGTTTGGCCTTCCCAGGGACGCTGTGCTTAGAGATCAATGGTTACAATTTATGTTTAACTCGGTTCCCGAAAATGTGCGCATGCATCTCCACGTTATGGTAAGAGGCGTGACCTTTCCGGGCAACGTGCGATAAGCTGCTGTCGAATCACAACACAGGAACCGCTGGCACAATCAGAACTCGATACGTATTTCTGAAGGAGGGACTTCATAGAGCAAGGAAGTCATCAGCCCGTTTTTTGGACAGTGAAAACAGCGGTATACAGATAAGTAAATTGTTTTTTTACACGCGAAACATGACCACATGTTATATTGCACACTGTAAACACAATCAAACCTTAAAAAAAACATGAAGAACGGGACCGTTAATACAATAAAACCGGACATATTGTTATCAAAAATGGCTCTAATGGGTACGAACCCATATCTCATTCATTGGTACTGTTCCTTCCTCACCAACAGGCAACAACTGGTTAGGGTCAATAACATCTATTCCCCCATGGTCACAACCAGCTGCGGTGCCCCTCAAGGATGTGTTAGCTCTCCTTTGCTCTTCACACTCTATACCAACGACTGTGTTACCTTTGCACCCAACCATCATACCATCAAATTTTCTGATGATACTGCACTGGTAGCTTTGATGAAGGAGGGGGAAGGGGCTGATCTTTATGTGCAAACAGTGAATAATCTGGTATAATGTGGTGTGATCAAAATGCCCTCATCCTCAATAAAACTGAGGAGATTATCTTCGGCACCTCTCATGAGTGCCACATTACACCAATAATTATTCATAATCAAATCATAAAACAAAAATCATCATTCAAATATCTTGGAGTGCATGTGGACAGTGACCTTTCCTGGACCTATCATGTAGACTATATCTGCAGCAAAGTACAGCAGAGAATCTACTTTTTAAGGAGACTTAGGTCATTCGGGGCGAGTAGCGAAATCCTGTCTCTTTTCTTTGTGGCAACAATTCAAAGCATTCTGCAGTATGGAGGCGCAGTGTGGTTCGGGGGCCTCTCAGCTCATTTGAAGGCCAGGATTCTTCGGCTCCTGGGAATTTGTTCCAAATTGGTGGGACACTCAGTTGAGAAAGCGTACACTGAAAGCCATGAACTGCACACTGTTAGGCTGGCTGACAAAATTTCTAAAGATTCTTCCCATGTGTTAAGTCAAGAGTATCAACTCCTGCCCTCGGGGAGACGCTATAGGGTCCCAGAGTGCAGAAAGAACAAGTATAAACAATCATTTGTTCCTCGTTCAATATCGCTGCTGAATCAACACATGAGAGTAAAGAAGTGATAATTTCCCACCCACTTGTACTTTAATATATATATTTATGGCTATTTACGAACACTCTTGCAGGGCGGGGTACCCATAATATTATTTAAGTATTTATTTATTTTATTTTATTTTTATTGATTTATTGATGACTCTGTTTTTAGCTTGTGTGTGTTGTAATTGTTGGAGCTTGTATTGCAAGACAAATTTCCGTGTACACGGACAATAAAGTGCTATCAATCAATCAATCAATCAATCAATCAATCAATCAAATTTATCAAAGTCTTTAGACTTTGACTAAATACCCAGTGCTGAAGTTGCTAGATATCTAGCTAGTGTCAGCATCATGTTACAGCGGTTAACATCAGTATTCCACATGTTAGCCATATTAGCTAATGCATAGCAGCCCTATCCACATAGAAAAAAAAAAAAAAACAGTGAGCTATTTATTTATCCAAACAGCAAATAAAACTTACCAGAACTTCTGAGGGCAGTAGCTTCATCTCTTCGCATCAACTTAGACTTCAAAAGCTTGATTTTGAAAGCTCTGATTGGTCAAATGTAATGTAGCTGCACTGAAAAAGATATGTTGTTACACTTTGTGTCAAAAATACGACTGGCACAGCACAGACAAGTAACGTTAATACAAATGTATTAAACATACTACTTGAATTTCAAATATATTTGGAATACATTTAATACTAGAGTTGGGTCCGAGTCCACCTTTGTCAAGTGCAAGTCAAGTCCAAGTCCAAGTCCAAGTCCGAGTCCAAAGAGGGCCGAGTCGGACTTGAGTCCGAGTCCTTAACATCCGAGTCCGAGTCGAGTCCAGCCGAGTCCACAAAGATTTAAACGATTAAATTGACCTTTCACAAAGACCCGCCCCTCTTAGTTACTGTTGCTACGTCCGATAAGCCATTCCGCTCTCACTTCACATGTTCTCACACAGTGAAAAATATATTGCGGAGCAAAGATGACACTGAAAATGCGCCAACATACAAGACAGAGCAGCCTACTCTTGGTATGAAATAAAAGTCAAATTATTTTAATAATTTTTTTTTTTTAAATAATTATGAAATTCAAACAATAAATACTGTTTTGTGCTGCTTTAATGTGTAGGCCTCAGTTCTAAATAGAAACAATGTTTTTATGATCCTTTCTTATAAATAAAAATTACATTTTGGAGATTCTGAAAGGTGTATGTAAACAAAAGTGTAAATGTAACAAAAATCATAAAACTATTAGACGCCAAAATGTTGCTATGGTTACTGTCAATCATCGCAATTTCATGACTCACATGACTAAAATTTTGCGGATTCACTCCCACATTCAAATGCATTTATCACTCTTTATAATTTACTGTGTGAACGTAACCACTGGTCCTCTAGAAGCACGAAAAACAAAACTGAAAAGGAGTAAGGGGATAGCAAGGTAGCTAGCTTGAAGCCAATGGGGCTGTCGGTAAGAACAGGTCCAGTCTAGTCACTCAGGTATCAAATTCTTTATTTCTTTTGTGTGCGTGTGGTTTCTACAAAGGAACATAGGAATACAGCATTTAAGGTTACAATAAACAATACATATGAGGCATCTACTCAAAGATCAAATAAAATAACTAAAGATAATGCCTAAACAGGAAATATAACAAACATAAAAATAAGCACCTTTAAAGACAAAGTTTAAGAAATACAGAACGATACTAAGTATCAAACAATAGGCACTTACATGGTCAATTACGCACACGCAGGAAAACACAAAGGAGAGAAACTCAGTCCTCTGCACGGTACATCCATGTGCTACAAACAGAATTAACATGCTGTGGGCACAGGTGCAGTTAATAAAGCCAGATATAGAGTCCTGATTGGCTAAGAAATTAGGTGGGTGGAGCTAGAATTAATATGAAAATTAACAGGCTAAGAGGGGTGTGGCACATGCTTTGCACCTTGTGGATTAAGGGACACAACTTCTCAACAGCCGCCCCCAAATTTGTATAGCAAATTTGATCAATCAGGGAATATCAGGTAGGGCTGGAAGAGGGATGAGGCGGGCAACGGGCCTCGTATATGTCCTGTCCTTGACTTGTACATCAGCAACCCTACAACGACCATCCTTGCTAGGATGAAGGGCGATGACCTTACCCACTGACCATTGTGATCTGGGAAGTTGAGGATCTAGAATCAGAACAACAGTATTAGGTTGCAGGTTAGGATGGTCTGTGCGCCACTTTTGTCTGGACTGAAGAGAGGGAAGATAATTTCTAAGGAAATGGGCCCAAAAATGATCAGAAAGGATCTGACTGTGACGCCATTGACGGCGACTGTGCAGCTCAGAGTCTGGATATGTAACTAAAGGAAGGGAAGCATCATGCCGCCCCATAAGCAGCAAGTTAGGGGTCACAGGGTCAGGATCAGCAACGTCAGATGACACATAGCCTATGGGCTTGGAATTTAAGATGCCTTCAATTTCAACCATGACTGTGCGTAGTACCTCCTCACTGACAATTTGAGCACCTAAGGGTAGTCTCCAGAGCAATTTTGTTGGAGCGTATTTCACGCTCCCAGCTTCCACCAAAGTGAGGTGCGTGTGGAGGATTGAATTTGAAGGAAATTCTTTGCCTGGCCAGAGTTTCCTGCAGGTCAGGGGTTAGGGATTGATAGGCGTCTAGTAGCTCTCTCTTGCCTCCAATGAAGTTGGTACCTCTGTCAGAGAGCAGCTCAAATTCAAGTCTCGGAATGGATAGTTGTTTTTTGGGAGCGACGCGGGACCTCGCCATGAGGAAGGACACATACCCTTGCTGCTGGCCATCTTCTGTGCGCATGTAGGCAACTGCACCATAGGACCTCTCTGATGCATCACAGAAGATGTGAAGGTCCCGAGTGGCTAAGGAGGTGTCTCCTGAAGGAGGGGTGAGACAGCGAGGCAGAGTGATAGTGGAGAGGTTAGGGAGTTCACTTTCCCAGGAAACCCAGGCTTCTAAGAGATCATGAGGGAGATTTGGATCATCCCATTCTCGTGCTTTTCCCCATAAGTGCTGAACGATGATTTTGGCCCTTGTTGTGTAAGGGGGGATATAGCCAAGAGGATCGTACTGGCTAGCAAGAACTCTGTAAATATGGCGCATAGTTGGAATGGTAGGTTCAATGATTCTGTGCCTTTATCTGAGGGTATCTGTATGACAGTTCCAGAGGAGGCCTAGTGTGGACTCTGAGGGATCAAGGAAAGGATGGTGTGATAACCAGAGCTCCGTTTGTTCTGACCTGGCTTCAGGAGGTAGGTCATAGATGACCTGAGGATCATTACTAGCCCATTGTCTGATTTCGAAGCCACCAGAGGAGAGGGTAGAGCGCAGGCTATAAAGGAGATCTCTGGCTTCCTCTGGGGTCGTGAGACTCTGTAAACAGTTATCCACGTAGAAGTTATTGTGTATGGAATGGTGAATGCACTCATCTGCCTGAGCATCTTTGATGATCCTCTGGAGGATGTAAATGGCACAGCAAGGGCTTGAGGTTATGCCGAAGGGGAGAACTTGCCATTCATACACTGTTGGAGGAGCTTCACTGTCCAGGTCACGCCAGAGGAATCGCAGGAGAGGTTTATCCTGGGGTAATAGGCGCACCTGGTGAAACATTGATTTAATGTCTCCACTGATAGCAGCCTTGTGCTGCCTGAAACGGAGTAGAACTCCAAGGAGTGAAGGCCCAAGGATTGGTCCAGGAAGTAACTGTGAATTCAGACACTGATTTCGGTAGGAAAAGGAACAATCAAACACAATGCGATCTTTACCATTGTGATGCACAATGTGGTGGGGTATGAACCAGGACTCAGGGGCATCTACCATTTCAGAGGATGACAACTTCTTGACATACCCAGCATTAACCAATTTCTGGATCTCCTTGGTATAGGTCTCTGCCTGTTGTGGGTTTTGAAGGAGTCGCCTTTCACAGCTGCGGAGACGGGACATTACTGCCTTCTTGTGGGCCTTCAGAGGGGGCCAGGGGTCTACACGGAGGAGAGGTGCTGCATATCGAAGGGTGCCATCAATAGGTATTCTGATGGTTTGGGTCTCAAGCTGGTGCATTGCCTCTTGATCTTGTTTGGAACGAACCACATCTTTCATGCTTCTCTGAGGTAATGCATCAATCTGCCACAGCTTCTGGACATTATGGTGAATGTCATCAGGTGGGCATTTAAAGGAGATATAGTGAGAACAAGTAGCAGGAAAGCTAGACAGATCTCTTGCAGGACCCTGCAGTGTCCAGCCGAGCCGGGTCTTGATTGCTACAGGGGTTCCAGGAGGGCCTAATTTGACAGGTTGTGTTGGGATGATAAGATGTGTATGATCAGCCCCTAGCAGGAGAAGGGGTCTTACTTTATTAAGCTGTTTGAGAGGGAGCTGACGGAGGTGTGAGTAGCGCCGCTGGAGGAATTTCACCGGGTGAGAATGTTCTGACAAGGATAACTGGTCAGCAGTGAAGGCTTGACTGATGACGTAAGACTTGTTAGGATGTGCTTTAGGAATAAGGGTGAAGGATACAGAAGCTCCATTAAGAGTCTGGACATCCTGTCTCACAGTTCTCAGCTGTAGATTCTCAGATTTTCCCTTTAACTGAAGTGTTTGGGCAGCAGGGTGAAGGAGGATTGTTCTTTCGGACCCATCATCCAGTATGGCATAGGTGTCTAAGGATCTGTTGCCATTGCGCAGGGTCACTTCAACTACTTTCAGTAGTACTTTATTGCAGTCACTAGGGTGGTCAAGATATAGATTTTGCACTTGCCTCTGGTTAATGTTGCATAGGATGTGTAGGTGTTTCCCGTTACACTGGCTGCAGCGTCCCTTCAGGTCACATTGGGTTGCAAAGTGATCTCGTAAACATCGCCAACAACGTCTCTGTTCCTTGATCCAGTTAGTTCTCTGGTCTTTGGTGAGCTGGAGGAAACCACCACATTTACTGACATGATGTTCGGTAGAATCACAGTAAGCGCATACTGGATAGCATTCAGCTATGCTGTTAGGAGGAGGCTGAACAACTTTAGGTGAGGGAACTTGGGCTCTGGAGGAAGTCCTATGAGGGGAGGTTTTGATACCATGGAGTATGGTTGTACCCCTTAATGGGTGAGGAGGTGGAGGCCTCTGCCGGACTGGCTGACCGATAGGCTGAGATGTTCTTTCTCTCCTGGGCTGGCAGCGGGCTTCTTGTTGTAGCCAGTTGGAAAAATCCAGGAGGTTATAGGAAAGGGGACCTGGTCTACTCAAACTCATACATCTCTTAAACTGGCAGAACTGTTCATGGGGAAGCTTCTCTAGTAGTCGCTCAACATGTGAGCCACAGGTAAGCTCAGAGAGACCTTCAGGGCCCATGGACTGAAGGAGGCCCACTAATGCCTGCACTCTGAGGGAAAATTGATCTAAGCCTCTACCATCACCTGTACGAATAACAGGCATCTCCATTATGGTTCGGAGCTCCTTCAAAGCAAGTTGTCTAGGTTGACCATAGCGCTCATCTAGGGCTCGTACAGCTTGAGTATAAGGATCTGGGGCATAAGCATAAGCCAAAGCAAGTCTCCTCGCCTGGTCTACCTTCAGATGATCCAACAGGATGTGGTATTTATATTGCTCTGATTCTCTTGGATCTAACAAGTTGGATAGGGCCATCTTTAACATCATGTACTGGCATTCGTCCTCCCTTATGAGATCAGGGAAAGAAGGGCCTTCTACCCTCCTATAGTTGAACTGCTGGAGGCCAACAGGAGGAACTAGCTGGTTTAGAGGGGGAGACGATGTCAGGTGGTGTGGCTGCACATTAAGAGGCTGGTATGCTGGCTGGACAGAATAGGGTAAAACAGCAGGCAAAGGTTGATTAGGCATTGTATAAGCTGGGTGCATGGGGTTATACGAGGCTGGTGCTTGATATCTGGCAGGAAACTGACCACAGCCAGGAGGATGCATGCTCTGCAAGGACTGTGGCATAGGCTGGGTAAGAGGGGCACGGCTTACAGGAGGAGGAGATGGAAGCTGTGACTGAAGTGGAAGAGGGGGCCTATGGTCCTCCATAGTCTGACGGGCTTGTGGTGATTGAAAGTTAGAATTATCAGGGCAAGGGGATGACAAGCGGGACCGTGAGGAGTGAGTGCTGCTCCTCAGCATGTACTGCTGGATTAATCTACCCTGATTTCTTAATTCTTCTACCATTTGCTGTAGGAGTGCAGTCTGAGTATCAGGCATGGGAGCTACAGGAGAGGTATGTGGGTGTTCAACATCAGGGGTTTGCATTCTCTCAGATAGGACAGGTGAGTAAGGGTGTGGAATATCCTCCTGAATGTCTCCCTCCCTGGGCAATTCCAACTCCTCTGGCTCTTCCTCAGACTCGTCCGCTTTCCAGGGTTGATAATGAGGACCAGTACCAGAACTATCTGCAGGATGAAGCAGTTGTTGTTCTGGTGGTTCTGCTGTAGGTTGTGACCTCTGATGATGTTGCAGGATGAAATCATCATAACGTGCAGGGAGCTGTGTAGACTTGGAATTAAGCCTTTTCCCCGTTATTATTTAATTCACGGGACCAGACACCAGTTATCTTGCCAAGAAAGATTTTTATTCTTATATGTCAGGAGAGAAACTCTGAGAAGATGTTATATTCATGCCAGGTCTATGCGTTTCGTGTTTCTCCTTCCTCTCACCCAGTCATGCCTCCATGTTTCTCTGCTGTAGTACAGTAAGATTGAGTTTTTATACATCACAGAGAGTCTTACAGCTTCCTTGTAAGGTAACAAAACATATTGCTTATGCTTAAAATGAAATGTATATGCACATGGTACAATCCACTTTCCACATTAAGAAACTATTTCTCAGTGTATACATTAGTGGTATACAAATGGTACATTTGCATCAGTTGAAACATTCATTTTCTTGCAAAGAGCATACCAACTGTACACATTTGAAGTATATTCATCATTGGAACTCTCTGCTAAGTGAACATTACATACCTCTAAGCAGAATACATAATCCTCCCAGCTACCCTCCTTGTGTCTAAAATATGTTCCTTAAACACATGTGTCCATGCAATCTATAGTCTACTCATGCATTTTAAACTTCATAAGATAATACAACTTATTATGAATACTAAATAAAGAATAATAATACAGATACATAATATTAATTAATGAAATTATATTCAAAGATGAAATTTTAGTCTTCATCTCCCTCCACTGGAACTACGGCCGTCAGTTCCACACCATCATCCCCAGGTGGCCAACCTATTGAAGTGATAGTGAGGAGAAGAAATAGCAGACCAAGAAATAGACAAAGGATAGAAGAATAGAAACAGAAAGGAAAACGAAAAACCCAACCCATGTTATGTCCCCGCATGCTATGTGTAATTTAACGTCTATGTGTAAGCATTTAAAATGAACCCCAATCATCTAAGAAAAGAAAAAGTAATAAATCTTCTGCCCGTGCCTGAACTCGTTAAGTAATTAACTCCTTCAGTTCCGTGCTAAAATAATAAACAAAAATAAATGTTGATGTTAAAGGATCCTATCCCTTAGGGTTGTAAATCAGTAAGCGGGTGTTCATTGTTTGTGAGGTTGTGTTTCGTAGTGTAGAATGTGTAAAATCTCCTATTTCACTCCGTATATCCCATTCTCGGTTCTATCCTTTTGGTTAATAATATTCAACTTAACAGGTTTGGTACTCTTCCTTCTAGTAACACATATGATGAGTTGTATTGTTAATAGAAACAGCAAAACACCTACCATAGTCAAAACTATCCATTCCGACCATGATAGATTTCCCGGAATTTGTGTTAATTTTCTCTCAGACATCAATTTAGCTATTCCGTTTGCTACGATAACATGACCCATTGCTTGAATTCCCTCCTCTTGAGCTGCTTTAACACTCTTTTTAACTCTTCTAACCATTTCAAAGAGTTCATAATTCCTTTCTTCTACTAAATCATTATTCCACCATTGTGGCTCTAACTGCAACAATTGCACATGTGGAACATGAATTCCACCCAAGTGAAGAGGATAGAGAATCTCAAGACAAAATGGATCAGGAGGAATTGGACACAACTTCCCTCCGTATATCATATTTTCACTTTTCCCATCATGTAATATGCACCACTGTGCTTCTGACACCTGCCATGCACCTGTGGCTTGATCTAAAGGAACTACTTCCCAAACTGCAGAACCATTAAGAGATAGACTAAACATTGTAGAGCATGAGCAAATTACCCACTCATGTTCCTCAACACAACAGTCTGTGGTAGAAATCATCGGCATTTCACCTTCAGCCCAATATCCATTCCTTCCTAATCTAATTACTGAATTTCCTTGTCTAACACCCATTGATTGGAATCGCCTAACTGTCATAATATTGCGCTTCCCATATTGAGGCCATATCATAGTCAAAGGTAATGTTCCAGAACCTGACAACGAATTCTCATTAATGCCAATTTTAACTAACGGGACATGTTTAGCAGAAGTCAAATTAAGTTGATTACCGAAAACCATTAACAAAGATTCCGCTATCCGTTCAGGAACTTGACCCATTCGAATAACCTGAATATCCTCTACCATTTGATCCTTTAAATTCTGGGCTAAAAATAAACACGCCGCACGATGCGTCTCAAAATCAGACGATTTTGTTAATGCATCTGCCAATTCCTTTGCAGCATTATTAAGATGCTGACCCGCTGCTATAATATGTAGAGTACCTTGAAGGGCCTTAGTGAGTCCTTTCCCACTCATTGTTCCCACCCACTGAGTGTACTCACTTAGTTGATTAATTTGAGCGGTATTGCTAATTGAATTAACAGAACCAAACACCCCCGCTATGTCTCCCCATATACTTTGAGGTTTACGATTTTTACTACTCAGAGGATCTCCAGAGGTATAATATTTAACTTCTTTTTCCAACCAACCCCTTATTTGTGTGAAATTTCCACAATAAGACTGATCAAAAACAGTAAGAAGGGATTTCAAGTTATAATTTATGCGTTGCCGCACCATGTGGGCTTCATTTATCAAGGTTTTGGTTTCTTTTGCTAACAAAATACCATGAGCTGGTGCAATAGTTGTATTTGGGCATGTTTTAGCTTTGTTTGTCTTTTCCGCAGAAAGATAAAAACACCTTCCAATTTCCCCAGTTTCTAGTTCAGTCTCACAATATTCATTCTCATCTTCTGAATGCCATACTCGTACATAATTTCCCTTGAATCTTGTTGTCCCCGAGGAAGTATCCCTTAGAAACCCTTCACATGGCAACACTATGGGATAAATACACCCTTGGGCCAACGAATCCCATATTGTAAGCATGTGAGTACGATTCAGAATGAAATTAATTTCCACATTAGTAGACGTTATGAGGTCTAACCCCACAACTTCACATTGTCCTTTTGAACAAATTTCTCGTCTTTGAGCACTACCAGAATACCCCCCGTCTTTCACAGGCCAAATTACTCTGCTTTTGTAACATTGATGATAAAAGTTACATCCTCCAAAGATGTCCTCACGATATTTAGCAAGATCTTTATCATTACGTGGCACCCAATCCCATAATCCCCATTTGGAAATAAAGGGTAGATTAAAATGTTGGCCAGATTTCAGAGTAGCATTCCGATTGATTTCTTGAACTCGAGGAGTCCATAAAGCTTGGCTTCCTTGGTAAATGCCAAGTAAAATTAAAAATAAGCATACCATTGTCGTTGGGTATCGAGAATAACTTGCAACCATCTCTAATCAATGTCAATGGAATTGATTCCTGAAATGGAAGCAGAGAAATAATTAAACATCACTTCTTTGTTCCCAATCTTTAAAGCTAATGGATGAACAGTGCTCAATATCAGGCCATAAGCCGTCATTATCATTTTGTTCATTCACTAAGCAAGGTTTAACTTGTGACCAATGATACCATCTGTCTGTTCCTACACCCTTCCCTTTAAGACAAACACTTGTGTCAGTAGTTAGGAGTATCTCGTATGGTCCTTCCCATCTAGGCTCTAAACCTTTCCTAGCAATTCGTTTGATCATAACAAAACTGCCTAACTCGGGAATGTGTGGAATGTCAGTAGTGGTGTGTTTTTCATCCCATTGCTGTTGAGCTTCTCGCACTTTCTTGTTATTGTCTTTAGTAGCTTTGTCCAGCATTGCGAGATAGCGTCGTAACTTTTCTTGGAACAAAGTAGAGTCTCCTCCTGTTCCCGCAGGTGGCGGAGCATCAGGAGGTAGAACCATTGCTCTTCCAGTCATTAGTTCAAAAGGGGCTAGTCCTGTTTTAATCCCCATCAATTTCATTGCTTCCTTCATCAGTTTTTTTCAGTGAAGTGAGTTCCATTGTCAGAATCAAGTTCATATGGAAGACCCCAGCGAGGAAAAACTTCTTCCACCATTACTCGTGCTGCCGCTTCAGCAGTGCAATTTTTCGTAGGGAGTGCTTCCACCCACCTAGTAAATCTATCCATGATTACTAGAATGTATTGGTACCCTCCACTGGGTGATAAAGGTCCTGTGAAATCGATTTGGAGATGTGTCCATGGACCTGTTGGTCTGGGTGCATGTGACATTCGCACCTTTACAGATTTTCCCACATTTGCTTTCATGCAGATCAAGCATCTCCTACAGTAATCATCAATGTCTCTCATCATTCGTGGCCACCACCAAGTCTCGCTGATTTGAGCTTTCATTGCTTTTGCTCCAGCATGCACTTTTCCATGATACAGCTGCATCAGTTCTCTTCTTGTTCCGATAGGCATCACCACTTGTCCTGTTGGAATTCTCCAGATACCTTGATCATCTTCTTTCGCTCCTGCTTTTATCCATTGCTCTTTCTCTTCATCTGTCTCCATTTGATATGACAGAAGATGGAGCTCAGGATTATCTTTGCTGTTTTCCTTTACCAAGGTAACAGGAGTAAGAGGAAGTAGAGCTGCTTCTCTAGCCGCTGCATCTGCTGCCGTGTTTCCTTGACTTTCTTTGGACTTGTCAGATTGATGTGATTTTACTTTGATCACGGCTGCTTCTCTGGGTAAGTGACATGCTGTAATCAAACGGCGAATTATGGAAGCATGTTGTATTTCGCTCCCACTGCTGGTGATAAGTCCACGTCTTTTCCACAGAGCTAGGTAGTCATGGACCACCCCAAAAGCATAACGACTATCTGTATAGATGTTAACTCGATCTCCTTCCGATAGTTCAAAAGCTTCCGTAAGTGCTATGAGCTCAGCTACTTGTGCTGAAAATTGCCCAGAAAGAGCTCCTTTCTTCACAACAGTTCCATCAGCTTCCACTACAGCCCACCCAGTATGTCGTTTTCCATCAACATAATAACTGGATCCATCGACCCATAACTCTTTATCTGGATTTTCAAGAGCGATTGGATTAACAGGACCAAGACTTTCCTCTTCAACTTGTTTTTCACACTCGTGTGGTGTTCCCTCATGTGGTTCCAGCATCATTGTTGCAGGGTTAAGAGAAATGTCTCTGATGATTTCCACTCTCAAATCCTTGTTTAACAAAGTTGCTTCCCATTTTGCTCTCCTCGCGTCAGTTATGGTCTTGATGTTTGTATTGTTCAACAACGTCACTATGCTGTGTGGAGTGTGCAGTATGATAGTCTGTGCTCCTATCAGATTTTCAACAGCATCCACTGCCCATGTGGCACCATCGAGGGCTTGTATACATCGTGGTTGACCAATCATTGTAACAGGAATCTTTGTGGAAAAGTATCCAACTGGCCTGTATCGATCACCTGGTTTTTGACACAGTACTGCTGAGTAGGACTCGTCTCCCACCCTGGTCCACAAATGAAATGGCAATCGTCCATCAGGAAGTCCCAAGGCTGGAGCTGAAGTCAGTTTCTCTTTCATAGAAGTAAACGCTTCCTCAGCTTCCGGTGTCCAGTTTATCTGTTCCACTCCAGGCTTTCCTCCCTTGTACAAGTCGATGAGGGGGCTAGTGATGCTGGCAAAATCAGGAATATACTGACGACAATAGTTGAAAAGTCCCATCACCTTCCGCATTCCTGTAACTGTTAGAGGTTTTGGGAGTTGCCGTAATGCCTCTACACGCTCTGTTGTCATTCTCCTTCCCTCGACAGATATTTCTTGGCCCAAGTAGATAACCTTGGTTTTGGCCAGCTGTGCTTTGTCAGGGTTGACTTTGAATCCTCCTTTCTTAAGGGCTTGTAGGACAACATTCAGAGCAAATATATGGCTGTTTTCATCTGGGCTTGCAATCAACAAGTCATCAACATATTGGAGGCAAACACTTCCTGAACTCTCAATCTCAGCTTTTTGCTCCATTAAGAACTGATCCAAAGTTCTATGAAATACAACAGGGGAAAGATTAAGACCTTGTGGGAGTCTGTTCCAAACATACTGTTTTGCGCCTACTGTGAAGGCTAATTTCTCTTGAGATTTTTCATCAATAGGTATAGACCAGAAAGCTGACAGTACATCTAGTACCGTGAAAATTCTTGCATTTCCTGGAATATCATTCAGAATGGTGGCAGGATTGGCCACAATAGGATGCGGTTTTGGTGTTACACTGTTAAGTCTTGTGTAATCAATGGTTAATCTCCATGAGTTATCCGATTTCCTGACAGGCCAGACAGGACTATTAGTGGTAGATGAAGTTTGTCTGATGATTCCTTCAGCTTCCAAGTCTGCCACTATCTCTTCCACGGCTTGTCTTGCTTCAGGTCGGATAGGGTATTGTTTATGAGGGGCATGTATCGGTCCCTCAATAACAACGGGGTCAATGTTGGCTTTGCCACAATCCAATTTGTGTTTAGCCCAAACATCTGAATATAAACTGCACAGAAGACCCCACACACCATCTTTTCCCCAATTTCTGATGATTGGTTTTGCTGTACCAACAGAACTTAAATTACATGTGCGATCTTCGTGTGGTATTATCCCAGCTGTTGTAGCGATTTGACGACTGTCAGTGAATATGATCATGTTCAACAATGGAAGAATGTCCATGCCAATAAGGCTTCCTTGTGAATTCGGCCCAACCCAGAAAGATGTCCATAAGACTTCATCTTCATGTATTTGCAGTGGAACTTGAATACTTTTGCGAAATTTTGTGATACCTCCTCCAACTCCTTCAACTTCCATAGTTTCATCTGTTGTAGGTAGGTTCAGATCTGTTATTGAAATGGCTGCTCCTGTGTCAACAAGGATGTCACATGGGTGGCCCCCTATTAATGCATTGACGAAAAGGCGATTGTCTCTTTTCTTACTAATACAGGGGGCCGCTGATTCCTATTGCGGACGCATAATTCCCTCAATGAGCTGACGGACTTGTGCTTCAGTCCATGTCTTCCCTTGAGTGGTTTCTTCATGGTTTTTCGCACTGACCTGTCTAAATGATGGACCTTGACCTTCTGCTCCACCTCCTTTAGCCCAACAATCTATTTTGGAGTGTCCACGCTTTCCACAGTTGCTGCAGAAAATCACCCTATTCTTTGTGTCCTTGTTGTATTGAGCTGTTGCCACTCCTCTTCGATATGGCTTGTTTCCTTCTTCTTTATTTGATCTCATAGCCATCTCTAAGCGGCCAGCCCATTGCATAATTTGGTCAAATGTTTCACCTGGATTGACTCCAAGTGATAAGGCATGTTGGTATTTTGTGCTGAAACCATCGACAAGTGTGTCAGTGAACTGTACATCATCTCTGTCAGGTTGTTTCTTAGCACAGAGGGCCCATCTTTCATAAGCATTCCACTTACGCAGAGCATATTCATCTGGAGAGTCATCATCCTTTTGCTTAATCAATGTCACTGATGTGAATGGAATTTTACCACTTCCCAAGATTTCTTGGATTACTTTTCGGAACTCATCTAATGCTTGCCAAAGACCCAGGTGTCTTCCCTGGCCGTCGACCCACAAGTCTACCCACTGGGCTGTTGTTATCGATGCTGGCAAGCGTTCCCATCGGTCTCTTGGGATTTTAGCTTTCACAATGGTGTGTATATCTCTTAATGTCATTTGATGTGCTTCAACTAATGAGTCCAATTCTCGCCAAAACTCTGTGTTTGGATCTTGTCTCTTCAGAGGAGGCAAGGCTGTGAGAATGGCTTGACGTTCTCCTGGTGTGAATGGTCTTTCTTCTGTCATCATTTCAGATTCTTCCCTTTTAATCGCAGGTGAAGAAAATTCAGGACCGATCTTATCAACTGTGATCATGTCGTCATCTTTTGTCTCATCGCCCCAGTCAGAATCATAATTCCGAGCTGGTGTACATCGCAGCATGTCTCTGTTTGGCTGAACTGTTTTAGATCTTGTTATTACCGGAGCTGCTTGTGCAGATGCAATATACATTTTGTCAACTGGACCTCCATTTGATCTCGAAGCTTGAGGCTGTGTCAGTGGTTTAGATGAACTTGTACATTGTTCAGGCAAAGTTGGATAAATTGGGTTGTAAGGAGGAGGCGTTACAGTTGTTGCGGATTTCACTGGTGGTTGTGAGTATTTTCTTTCAGCTTCAGTTATTATATTTGTCCAATCTGGATCAAATAAATCTTCACTGGTTGTATTTGCTTCATCTGAACATTTAATAGACATGATTTTGTTCAATTTGGTATATGCTTCAATTTGAGGCTTCATTGCTTCAGCAAGTGGAACTGGACCACCATTCATATAGCAAAAAATTCCACCTTGTTTCACAATCCAATGAGCCGCCAGTATTGGGAATGCTTTTGATTTGATCTTGTCTTTTTGGGACTCGAACCAGCTTAACTGCTCATCCATAGATGCATTGATATCCAGACCTTTTTTCAAAAGTTTAGCTTGTTTCTTCCTCTTCCTTTCCAGGTACCAAGAAGATATTGTTCTGCTGTTACAGACACTTTCTCCCATGTTTCAAAGAATTTGTCACTCTGTGTCTCTGTGCTCAGAACAGCAGGGCTATGTGTGTGTGCGTATATGTGTGTGTGTGTGTGTATGTATATAGAGTGAATTCCAAAGGGAGGGGCTGCTTCTCTCTCTCTCTCTTCTCTAAGCCCTATAAGAACTCAGGGAAAAGAAAATTTTAAAGAAAGATTAAAAACAAGTTATCCCTTATATTTTAGTTATCTATTCTTTTTTCTTTTTAATTTACTTAGTTCAACTCAGATACATTTTTTCTTCTTTCTTTTTTTCCTAGTTTATCTCAGATTAATTTCTTTGTTTTTCTTTTTCCTTTAAGTTTAACTCAGATAAGTTTATTCTTTCTTTTTCCTCTAGTTTATCTTAGATTCATTTCTTTGTTTTTTCTTTTTTCTTTAAGTTCAACTCAGATCAGTATCCTCAAACATTTGAACAGTTTTATGGTCAAAATCAGAATGCCCGCGATTCTAGCTCTTTTTTTTTCATTGATACCCTTCTTCTAAGGGTTCAATCCTCTGCGTATTTAAACGTTTTAGGGTTTTCTTCGTATCTTCTATATACTGCACTGCACTAACTCAGAGCACAGACCCGCCACTTTAAACCGCTATAAATCACTGCTTGTTACACTTTCCTCGTCTCCTTCTGAGAACGAATCTTCTGTGTGTTGGATGCTTTAGGGTTCATTCTGCCATCTTTTTAGACAGTCCCGCCACAATCCAACCACGTCGCAGTTGTAAACAAGCAAATTTGCCTAGCTTAACCGTCTTATAGCTAATTCTATATGGTCTTCTTTCTAAAAAAGATCCACTTTTACCCAAGCATCATTCAAATATTTTAGAGGTTTTACTGATCAGAGCAACTTAAATAAGCCAAATTTAATTGTCTGACATATATTCATTGGCAACACAACTGGTACTTTAAATAACACAGTTCTTTTAAGCAGTTTCAGTCAATGTCTAATCATCAGGCAGACTTAGAATTATTTTAGAAAAAGAAAAAGTCTTACCTTGAATGATTGAGACAAATGCCTGAAGATGCGATCCTGTTGTTCGTGACGCCAAATTGTAGACTTGGAATTAAGCCTTTTCCCCGTTATTATTTAATTCACGGGACCAGACACCAGTTATCTTGCCAAGAAAGATTTTTATTCTTATATGTCAGGAGAGAAACTCTGAGAAGATGTTATATTCATGCCAGGTCTATGCGTTTCGTGTTTCTCCTTCCTCTCACCCAGTCATGCCTCCATGTTTCTCTGCTGTAGTACAGTAAGATTGAGTTTTTATACATCACAGAGAGTCTTACAGCTTCCTTGTAAGGTAACAAAACATATTGCTTATGCTTAAAATGAAATGTATATGCACATGGTACAATCCACTTTCCACATTAAGAAACTATTTCTCAGTGTATACATTAGTGGTATACAAATGGTACATTTGCATCAGTTGAAACATTCATTTTCTTGCAAAGAGCATACCAACTGTACACATTTGAAGTATATTCATCATTGGAACTCTCTGCTAAGTGAACATTACATACCTCTAAGCAGAATACATAATCCTCCCAGCTACCCTCCTTGTGTCTAAAATATGTTCCTTAAACACATGTGTCCATGCAATCTATAGTCTACTCATGCATTTTAAACTTCATAAGATAATACAACTTATTATGAATACTAAATAAAGAATAATAATACAGATACATAATATTAATTAATGAAATTATATTCAAAGAT